AAAAAAACCGTTTGGCCAAACCTTAAAAAAAAAAACCCTTCCGCCGGGGTCAGGGTAAAGCATATCCATGTAAATGGAAAAGCGGCAGTTCCGTCTCATAGATCTGCTCCAACGACCGGCGGACTCGAAATCCAGTACCCACCCTAAACCGTTAACCCTATTAGCCCCAAGCCCTAAGCCCTCTGCGCCCAAGCTCCCGTCACGGCCCGACACGGCCTCGCAACAACTCACCAGCAGCACCTACACTTACAAACCTGTTGTCGAACCTTAAACCGTCAGTCCCGAACCCCAAAACCTAGAAACCCAAAGCCTAAACCGAAAACCCTAAACCCTAAACCCTGAACCCTAAACCCTGAACCCTCAACCTCCAAACCGAAAACCCTAAACCCTGAACCCTAAACCCTAAACCCCAGACCCAAACCCGAGACTCCTCAATCCCAAGCCCGGATTCCTAAACTGTAAACCCTAGAATCCCTAGAACCCCTGGAGGCCCGAACCCTTCTAACCTGAACACTCTTAAACCACTCAGGCGCTTCAACCCGAAACCCAAAGTTACCACCCCTCTCTCGATTCCCAAACCCCGCTGGAGTAGAGTGTTTTGGGGTTAGGGTTTCGGGCAAAATGTCCCAAGCCCCTCTTTGAACTCCTAAGGACCCTATATTAAACCAGGGTGTAAACTCTGAGCCAGGGTCTACACCCTAATCCGTAAACCCTATCCGTTGAACCAAGGTAGCTTCATCACGGCCTCGGGTGCCTTGTCGGTCACCAGTGGCAAGAAGACCGGCCGATCACCCAAGGCTGCGCTTCGGGGTAAGGTTTGGGGTTTAGGGCTTAGGGTTTAGAGTTTAGGGTTCCGGGTAGGGTTTAGGGTTTAGGGTTCAGGGTAATACACGGGTTCAGGGTTTAGTGTAATACAGGGCTCCAGCGTTTTGGTGTTGTCCGGGTTTAGAGGTTAGAGTTTAGGGGATAGGACAATTACCAACAGTATTCCTTGGGGTTCCTTCTTCTAGTTCTAATTATAGCATTCTGTGCCGCAAAACCCCATTCTAGTGTTTGAAGGCCCCTGGCCTACATGACGCGGTTATCCGGGTGTAGGATTCGGGCACTTATTGAGGGTTTGGGGCTTAGGGGTTATTTAGGAAGTTCTCTGAACTAGGGCCCCTTGTTGGAGCGTGCCGCACTCGCACTGTCTCTCTCAGCACAATAAGTGCTACGTTGCAAGGCAGGACAATGTAGACTCCTGGTTAATTCACCCTTTCTTTCAGGAGTATAAACTGGAACTAAGATCCATATTTTATATGTGAGATACTGCATATCATATGTCACGCATTGTATATTTTATATCATATATTGATTTTTATTTTTCTACTGTATTAAATATAGCATCATTATCATAATATACATATACAATATATGATATATTATATGTATATTGTACTATACTATATTACATTATACTGTATTATACTACAGTATCTTGTATTTTGCTAATAATAGATTAGATGAGATGAGATGAGATTAGATTAGATTGCATTACGTTACATCACATTTTATACGATGTTTTAATATGTTGTATTATGTGTTTTATTCGACAGTATGAGGAAGGGGGTTGTGAACCAGGGGTCTGCCTTATTGCAGTCCCTGCGGCGGCTGTGGCCAGGACAAGCGTATCGTGGAGGAGTTTGACAGCGTGCGCGACATTTGGTGGGGCAAGGTCAACATCAAGTTGGAGGAGGCCAGGTTCACGAGTAGCAGAGGAATGTCTGGTCGTTCCCAACATCAGAGCAGACTGGAGTCCGCTTTGAATCGAATCTTGCGTCACCTGAAATAAGACCCGATGTCAACAGCAACGCACCTGCAACATGCTGAGGCTGTGTTCGAGATCAACCGTGAGCGAGCCGTGGACTACCTGAACACTCAGAAACGGCTTTACGTTGTGGACGGCTTTGCAGGCTGGGACGCTCTGCCATCTCAAGGTTTGCAGGTATGTCATCTTCAGTGATCCTCACCATCGTCATGCTGATCCTTGTGCTCGTTTCCATTTTCGTCATCTCAGGACCCCTCGTGATTATCGCCTTCGTCGGCACTGTTTCGGCACCGTCATCGGCATCGTTATCATTTTCTTCATCGTCGCGGTCATCATCACCGCAATTTCAACAGTAGCAGCAGTTGTAGTCGTCGTCGTGATGAAGTGATCGTCATAGTAAGTGCCAAGACTGGTCAGGATAGTAACACCAGGAACAATACTAAGAAGAGAAGAGTAGCAACAACAGAATCACCAGCAGGACTTTAAATAATGAAGAGTGCCAAGGGCAGAATACCATTACCAACAGCAAGACTAGCAGGGCAAGTAAGTGTAGTAACCAGAAGGCATAGCAAGACGACTAAGAGCAGGAAGCATACTATTGTGACTGCACTAGTTTCTAGACAGCAGAAGGCCATTGTGGAAGCCATGGTAAAAGTACTCACACAGCAGCCATCATCGTATCCTAGTTCCAGGAACAGGCTCGGAGCAATCGCGCTGTAAGTGCTGCAGTCCACAGGGGTCCTTGTGGCAATGCCTGTCGCAACGGATGTACAAGAAGTAGAAGTGATAGTAGTCGTCGTCGTCGGCGTGGTCGTCGTGGTCTTCGTAGGTGTCGTAGTCGTCGAAGTCGTCGTAGTGGTAGTGGTAGTGGTAATTGGCGGTAGGAGTGGTAGCGGTAGTGGGAGGGGTGTGGTGGCGGTGGTGGTGGTGGTGGTGGTGGTGGTGGCAGTAGTGGTGGTAGTAGTAGTAGTAGTAGTAGCAGCAGCAGTAGTAGGGTGTGGAACAGTAGGACCAGGACTTTGTAGAAGCAGGTGTAGAAGTGGAACCAGCAGAACTTTTGGCAACATAAGTAGTCAGTAGTCGCAGCAGCAATTGCGACAGTAGCAACAATAGGTGGAGCAGTGCTCGGTACAGTACTGATCAGAACAAATTCCGCAATCACGGCAGTCAGCATAGTACGAGATGAGTGCAATACGACTACTAATAGCAGCAGTCAGAACAGTAATGGCACCCAAGACTGTGCTATTGGACAAAAGTGTTCGTAGCAATAGCAAGCTTGTAGCTAAGGTTGTCAGTCATAGCAAGTCGTATTACCTCAAGCAACATAAGGACGGAAGTCCATGCCAGCGGAATTGTTGAAGTGGCATCCTGCAATCCAAAACCTCCTTCAAATCTGTCACTTTGCCGGAAGGCTGGGACGAGGAGTACAGAATCCCGATCCGCGTCATCACCTCTCGGGCATATCATGCCCTCTTCATGCAGAACATGCTGGTTCCTAGGTCCCCCAGTAGTACCCTTTTGCCCTTTTGTCTTTTTGGGTTCCCCTTATTCAAACCAAACAGTAGGAAAACAGGTTATTCTTCACCTAAACCCCTAAACCCTAAACCCTAAACCTTATGAAAACCAAACCATAAGAAAAAAGGGTACCCTTATTCAGGGGCTACCGGGGAACCTAGGTTCCGCCCTCGAAGTCGGAGCTCTACCAATTCGAGGCCAGTGCCTTCCCCCGGCCCTTCGTGATCTTCAACGCAGGCCCTGTGGGGCTGTGGGGTGGTTGGGGCTTCAGCCGCTCAGGACAGGGGCACAGGGGGGGGGGGGGGGGAAAGTCGGAGAGGCTCTGCTTTGTTCCAGGGCCGAGAGAAGAAGTTCCTGACCTTCTGTAGCAGGCTGCTTCCCATGCAACCGGCACACCGCGGGGATGACCTCGACCACTTCCGTGTCGTTGTCGCTCTGCCGGGGGGAGATGGTGATCCTTGGCACGCAGTACGCAGGGGAGATGAAGAAGGGAGTCTTCACGGTGATGATGTATCACATGCCCCTGCGACCTGAGCGGCATCTGGGCCCCGCAGACAGGGCCTTGCCACTGCACTCTTCCTGTAATGTGGGCCCTGAGGGAGATGTGTCCCTGTTCTTTGGGCTTAGTGGCACAGGGAAGACGACTCTCAGCGCGGACCCGGCGAGGAAGCTGATTGGGGACGACGAACATGTCTGGACCTCCAAGGGCGTCTTCAACATCGAGGGCGGCTGCTATGCCAAGTGCATCAACCTCTCCCGGGAGAAGGAGCCCGAGATTTACGATGCCATTCGCTTTGGCAGTGTGCTGGAGAATGTGGCCTTCGATGAGTGGAGCCGAAAAGTTGACTATGACAACGTCTCCCTCACGGAGAACACACGGTGCGCATACCCCTTGCACTACATCCCCAATGCGCTGATCCCGGCAAAGATCGACAGCCACCCAAGCAACGTGATCCTGCTGACCTGCGATGCCTTCGGTGTGCTACCACCGATCTCCAAGCTCACGAAAGAGCAGGTGGGTAGTTTTCTAAATTAGGGTCCCTTTGGGGAGTCCTTATTACAAGGGTGCCGCACTATATTGGGGACCTAAAAAGGGACCCTATTTTAGAGAACTGCACAGGTGATGTACCATTTCATCTCCGGCTACAC